TTATTTTGGGATGTACTGTGAAAACATAGGGGAATTGAAGCCTATTAGAGGCAAAACACACCTATTTTATGTATGTGTGTATATTTTTAAAGGCAAAACATTTAAAATTTTAAATGTATATTTTAAAGGCAAAAAATCACATTCTTGAGTTTTGACAATTTGCTGCTGAATTTCAGCAATGTTGGGCAGATTTTAGAGCAGCGTTTCTCAAGCTTGGCAGCTTGTAGATGTGTGGACTTCAACTCCCAGAATTCCCCAGCCAGCATGAGTGAAGTCCACACATTTTCAAGCTGCCAAGGTTGAGAAACACTGCTCTAAAATCTGCCCAAGGCTATAAAAAGGGTTGGGTACCTATGGTCTGTGGCTTAGAAGTTAATCGCTTTAATTGAAGTGAGTGGTTCCTACATCCAAACAGTGTCTTATTTTCAATATATGATCCTAGCATTTTAGGATGAAGGATTGGTAAGACTGTCTCAAATTGAGCTCGACTCTAAGTGACGATATGGATACATTCATGGATTTTTCTTTGCAACAGTATAAAAGTTGTTCGTATTGCCAGGAACAAGAATACATGATTGTAATTCAACATGTACTTGAAATGTGTTCTGCTAATACCTAGTCTATGGGATTTAACATAAAAAATAGCATTTACTAAGGTGCATTTACTAAGGTCCAAATACAGATTCATTAAAATAACACGTCAAATCTTTTAGATTGCAAAATATCTGCTCAGAAAATAAAGATTTGCATCAACAGATAACATCAGTACTTATATGATAATGAAAAAGTAAAAGGTATTGCTGTCTGTATTCCCCCACCCCATCCTTCCATAGGAGCAATATTGTAAACTCTTAACCCAGAAATAAAGCCCATCCTTTAAGGGACTTTTGAGTACACATGTAAGGATAGCAGTGTTTTCTCTGAACATGCACAATTTGACTAGGGGAGGGAATATTCTGAAACCAATAACTGTTTTGTTTCCTATTTACTTTTGTACAAGATATAACTCTGCATTATCTTATTCGTGAGTATTCATGAATCTAGTGCATGAATAAAATTTAGTGTGTAGGAGCTTATTGATTTTATTGTCTATTTCAACACTGAAACCCTTGGTGTCAGGATTTTAATTTTTATCCGTGAGGTGGTAATCAGACTAAGACTTACTAAAGTTGAATCCTAAAATGGTTGCTAATTCAGAACACTGATATACCTATCTTTATATTCTACTAGTATTTTTTTTTTCTGCAAAGCTTACAGAATATTGAAAAGCCAGTGTGCTACAGTGCTTAAGGTGAAGGACTAATTCAAGGCTACCCTTAGCCGTGAACAGTCACTGTCTCTCAGTTTGATCATTTTTATTTAATTATATTTCAGACTTAGATCAGAGGCTCTTGGAACTGAAACAGTTTCAATATGTTATGAGATTTCCCCTTTTTAAGCTTTTTTTTTAAAAAAAATCAGACAAGTAGATCACTTTCACAAGCATACGGAATAGTGTGTTCTAATATCCTTGTTTATATTTCATAAATACTGAGAAAAATGTCTTTAAATTTTCAGCAAGTTGTGGCAGCAATAAATGCAGGAGTCAATCCTAAAGGAAATATGCCAAATCAAGTCAGTCACTGGGATTTGGGAAGTTCCTTCTTCTTTGCGGGGACTGTTATTACCACCATAGGTAGGACACAATTTATTATTCTCTTTGAACATTGATGACCCAAAATAAATTTAGCTAAAAATATATGTTTATATTCTTATTTGGGAACTTTGTCTCTTTTAATTGTCCTGTTTTTAACAAGGAAATGTTGGCTAGATCTGTGTTCATACATAGTTACAAAAATAAATATCAGTAATCAAAAAGTTGTGTATATTGGATTCAGTTCACATTTTTTTAAACAGAACCCTTGGTTTTTAGCTTGATTTGCTTTCTTTAGCAATAACCATCTTACTTTCATACAATTATTCTCATATATTTTAACTGAGAACTTTATAAAGTTAATCTATTTGGAAAACTTCTTTAAATGTTTAACATGTAAATATAATAAATCTAAATACAGATCTAATCACCTGGCATTTTATTATGTATCGGGTGACTTACAACAGTTTATGATCAAGATTCCTTCTACTATATGGTACACGTATTTTAATGCAAGTACTATATGGATAGTTACACCATGCCAGATTGAACACTGTAACTACATTAAGTTGCTTAAATATCACACTGTTTGACATAAATATTTCAGAATTCCATCATAGGCATCCTTTACTTTTGTCTCACACAAAAATTTACTTAAGGAGAGACAGGTGATATCAGGTGGCGGTACATCCCATCCTATCATTGTCACTATGAAATTGTGTTCCGCACATCATCTTCATCAGAGTGGAAGGGCTGAGAAGATTCTTCCTCCTCTTTCCCCAGTCTAAAATTATCTGCAAAGGGAAAAGTGAGATTGGACCGGCCATGACCCAATTCTCATCACGTTTTGCCTTCCAGAGGACCTTGAATTGAACTGCAAGATAAAGACAACTTTGCCTTCTGCAGCAGATCTTAGATATACAGGTAGTCCCCAGTTTAAGAACAAGTTCTGTTCCCAAGGTCTGTCCTTAAGTTGAATTTGTAT